CCAAGCAGCAGCAGCAGCAGCTACCAAGCAGCAGCAGCAGCAGCAGCTACCAAGCAGCAGCAGCAGCAGCAGCTACCAAGCAGCAGCAGCAGCAGCAGCTACCAAGCAGCAGCAGCAGCAGCAGCTACCAAGCAGCAGCAGCAGCAGCAGCTACCAAGCAGCAGCAGCAGCAGCTACCAAGCAGCAGCAGCAGCAGCAGCAGCTACCAAGCAGCACCACCAGCTACCAAGCAGCAGCACCACCAGCTACCAAGCAGCAGCACCACCAGCTACCAAGCAGCAGCAGCAGGAGGAGCAGCAGCAGCAGCAGGGAAAGAGTGAGCTTTCCTTAGAGTCTTTCGTGCCCCAACATTTGGTCTCGAACAGTTGCACATATAGGTGCTGCCTGAGTAATTGTAGAAGGGCGACGTGGAAAGACAGATATATCTGATATATATGTTTTTTACACGAAAAATTGCTGACGATGCAGGCAGCAGCGGTGTGCATGATTGACATCTAGGGGTTGCATGCGAACATGTGTCAGCGACCGAAGACTCCGTCGCAACGCTTGTGCATGCTCCCTGTCGCTCGAACATGGAACGCGGACTACCATGAGTGAAGCAAACAGCCCGTTCAAACATCTTGCTGGGCTCTGTCATTCACGTGTGTAGTAAGTATCATCTTTTGATCTGCATGGATAGCGGATAGTGCATTCTGATTTGTACTCTTGGGGGTTGTGGGGTGGGTACATGCCTGTACAAGCTTCTTAAGGATATACTGAAATTAGCTTCGTTTCACGACTCAGAGGGAATGCAACTACCAACAACAGCCAACAACCCCAAACAGCAACAGCAGCAAAACGGAGCAGACAACAAGCAGCAGGCAGCCAGCATCCAGCAGCAGCAAGCATGCAAGCAGCAAGCAGCAGCAACCAGCAAGCAGCCAAGAGCATCCAGCCCCAAGCATGCAAGCAGCAAGCAGCAAGCAGCAGCAACCAGCAAGCAGCCAAGAGCCAGGCGCAAATGAGATGCCAGCAGCAGCAGCAGCGACCAAGCAGCAGCAGCAGCAGGTACCGAGGAGGAGAAGGGTGGAGTTGAACCCCGCGAGGGGGGGGGGTATAGTCCTGATATATCAGGTAACAGCACTCAGGTCCTGGGCTCCCACCCTCCTTGCTAAAGCAAGACAGACTCCAGCTAGCTACAGCTAGCTTTCGTGATTTGTTGTCAACATAAATGTTCAAGGTGTTTAACACAGTTAGCTGTGTTTGCAAACTTCTCTATGTTCAATGTTTGTCCTTTGGCTCCCAACCTCCGATCAAAATACTCCGCTTCCCGGCGCAAAAAGGCTGTGGCGTGCCTGATCCGGACCTTCCCGACCCAGGAGAGAGGAGCACACCTGCTAGCGCAAAAACAAGCTTAGCTCCGGGAGAATCATTAGTTGCAGCACACAAAATCAGACCTAATTAGGAGCAAGGACGCTACTAGGAACAAAGGGCATCGCTACTAGGAGCAAGGACGCTACTAGGAATTGCAACATCCTGTGACATCTGGATTTTCTCCATGTCCCAGAATGGCTTGCCATGCGTACGCAACCAGAACTGACAACACGCAAATGGGTGCCCGAGTCTATTCTTGACCGACAGCCACAAGAGCCAATCTTTGCATGATTCTGTTGAACAACCAACTGTGGCACCCGGACGCCCCAGTGACACTTCAATTCACCCCGCATCTCGCACATGTAGCCTTAGTCACAACACCAACACGTTAAACTTCATTAAACAACGTCCAAGGATTCCACGATCTATTTGGCAGGCACGACCACAGGCAATAAAGCCATCTATGGATGCATTTTGAGAATCGAAGAGTCAATCAACAGTCTGATATCTCTGCTAAACATGTTACGGCACAGCAGCACCAAAATTGACCTGGTTCTAGAGTTTGCTTTTTCCATAAACTTTGCAACTGGGCAACTTGCAAGGTGTCGGAGTGGATTGATTACTGAGAAAAGCACTTCTGAAAGGCAATTGAAACTGGTGAAACCCAGCCTGGCCAAAAAGGACAGTCTACACTCTCGAACAAGTCTCTACACTCTCCGAACCAATCCAACTGTCTTCTTCGCCCCCGTCCAACTCTCTGCAACAAACTGAGACACCCGAACCCATGTTGGATCGCCAGTATGGCGAGCCCATGGTCCGCATGCCATTCACATGCCACTTCATGCCTCGGCTAAGAGTGAGCAACTGCCAGCAGTTGCTCCAAGTCTGCATGTTCTAAAACGATGTCTCAATGTATTAAAACCAACGAGTCGCCAGCGAAGTCCCTAAAGCACCTGTCCAACACTAGGTCCAAAAACCGTCTACCGTGTCTGATAATTGCTAGAGGTATTGCAGTTTGGAACCACAAAAAACAACCAAATCCTGAGTCCAGCGCCGTTCAAGAAGTTGGGTGAGCCAATCTTGTTTGCATCGTGCCTCAGAAAGCTTCTGGTGCAACCCACAGAACATGACATGGCACAACTGCATATTTACAAGACCACCCTCTTGTTTTTTTAGCTTGTCATGTATGACTGCTGTTGTCTTTCTGAGGCAACAGATTCCATTTATATAAAGTAATTGCCAGAACAACGCATTCCAAACCACAACTTCGGCAAAGGTTCTTGTGAGTATAGTAAGACTAAGCTGCGCAGTGTAGTAAGCATGAAGACTGCAACAATACACTGCAATCTTTGTCAAATCAAAGCCCGTGACCTACGACAAACTTCTGCGCCCTAGGTCAGCTACAAGAAACCAATGTCAGTGATATCAAAGCGCAACTAGTCTCGATTAGTTCAGTGCATTTACACAAATCCATGTGCAAAAAATGCCTTCTGATAGCCTCTGCTTTCAATCAGGCAAACATGAAGCTGATGGATGATATCATTGGGAGCAACTCATTGTCTTGCTGCATGCAGAAAGACCTTACACACTGCGTATTTATGTACCGTTGCCACCACAGTACATGGCTGATATTACCTCCTTACTTATCTAATTACTTATTTAGTCAGCTACTTCCTTCCTTCCTTACCTACCGACTCAGGCCACAGCTTACATGTGAGGTTCTTCGGCACCCCTCTCTTTGCAGTGTTTGAGCTTCCATAAGCGATAAGTTATGGTTGCCTAACTCTGTTTCGTAGAAAAGCAACACGCCTGTGTTTATTGCAAAGTTTGGATGCTGTCTCTCCTCGACCAGTGGCGAGCAACTTGACCCAGGAAAACCAACAAAGCCAATGGATTCATTGGTATGGATGGTATGGTTAGTTTCGCTCGAGGTTTTCCACCAACATTTCTGGACCTCTACAGCAGGCTTTGGTTGCAAATGTCCGCGCCTGAAAAGGTTGACCTTACTTGATATGCTGCTTGGTTTTTTTCCCAAGCCTTGTGAAGGGCTTTTGTGGCATGACCTGTATGTTCTCACTCTTGCCTTTGTTATTCATACCCAGGTACCTCTGCTCACAGAAGCCGATATACTTCTCTACACACAGTCCCACTCCGTAGCAGGTTTAAGCTTTTGGTGCAAACAGTTAAACAATGCAAATGATATATTATTTGCCTGTCCATTAGGAGTTATCAATCTTTAAAGCTTTGCTGCTGAGGCTACAGACCAAATGCCCTGATCCGTTAGCACCTGCCAAAGTCGTTCCCGTACAGAAGAGGAAACAAATGGGCGATGGTCTAGACATAGTAAATTGAGCTCAAGAGTTCAAAACATAAAACATCACCAGTCGCCTTGAATTTGCAGGGCTGTCTCATTAGCCTGAGCTGGCAAACCAGCAAAGCTGCAACGTACTACGCAGATTGAGAGTGCCTCAAAAAATAACAAGGCTGAATCAGGCTGAATCCAATCTTGTTGCCGTACTTTCCCATTTCTATCCAAGGCTGCTACTGATGCAGCAATTGTGCAACCAATGGCATCTGATGGACCTCGGCCCAAGAAAATGCAACACACATGCCGTACTCCGCACGGCTATCACTAGCATAGGCATAAACCTTTCAGGAATAAATGGAGTCTGTTTTTGTGAACTTAAGTTGGAGGGCATGGCTTTTAGGTCTATTAAGCCTTATTAAGCAACATTCCGGCCCGTGGCCGAGTGTCCGAACCACTTCGCTTGGAGGAACTCTCACTTTGCTATCATCTCCACATTCGATGAAAGCAACCTGGTGCGACGGGTATGTTCCAACACATGTAAATGCTGCTAGAGATGACAGGCCGTGATGCAACGTGACACAACGTACTTCTCAGTTCTTAGTTTGAACAAATAACACGGCTGAGCGGACAAAATGCTGGCTATCCCCACCTTGCCAGTGTCATTGAGTTTCACATCACTGGTGGGTGCCAGGCTGTTGCAGAACCTTATTCTTCGGGACACGACAGGGCCGAAGAATGCTCATGATCTGCAAAGCGTTAGCACAAATTGATGATTGATGAATAGAGGATGCAAATCAGCATCAAACAGCCAAAGTCTCTTGTGACACCCAACCAATCTCTTGAAGTTTACAAAACTGGATTATGTTTGATTAGTTTATTTATCTGCCGGCCTTTGGTCCAAACATGTCCAAGAAATTTTAGCACTTTTTAAAGTCCTCTCCAACTGCCTGGGGCACAAGCTCCCACAGGTTGTTCACGTCTGCCATTTCAGGTGGTTTGATCCTGGCCGAGAAAAAGTGGAGTAGGTAACACCAACACCTCATGCCTGGGGGTGCTGGTCCTACAACTTTAGCTTACATAGCCATGGTCATAGCATCCAAGACACAAACAGAAGAGTCACAGCCCTGCTGGCAGCGTCACCACCCAAAGCTCTCGTGTCTAAGCACAGCATCCGTTTCTTCTCACCGAGAGACTTGAATCAACTCACTAGAAAACCGCCTCATGAAAATTACAATGTTCATGCGTAGTTATGCGTAGTTTAATTCAAAAGGAAGGACACACTAGGAAAAACGAAGAATCTGAACGGGTAGACAAACAAAGAAACAAATCAAGAAAGGAGAAAACAAAGAGACCGACACAATTATAAACCAAAGCCCTTTGACCTCAAAGCCAGGCCGGCAAGACTGCTGCAGCAGGCATGTCCTGGATATGCAAATTCGCCCGAAGGTGCACTTCACTCGATTTTTGCGTGTTCCGTATCTATATGTTACAAGTTTTCTTTATTGGACGAGGGGTAGGTTGGTAAAAGAAGAGACAACAAGCAAGTAGTTCGTAGTCAGGGGTAGGTAGAAGAACTGAGAAACTACTGTTACTATTAGCTAGGACGCAAAAGAGCTACGGCAGACTTCCTTGAAGAACCCTTGATGTTTGGGGAAACTCAACAATTCATCTGCCAACCCGTCAACGATTGACACAATCAACATCAATTGATTCCAAATCAAGGCAACAATTATTGCAAAGAAGTCGCAAAGAATCTCCGAATCCAAAGGTCCTAGTAGCTTCTTGATTCATTTCTAATTAAATTTAGATTAGTCTTAATTCTAATTCTAATGAATTCTTGTTAGTAGCTTCTTGTTACTAGTAAGGCCAGGAGCCCCTAGTAGCGATGCCCTTTGCTCCTAGTAGGGTCCCTGTTTCAGCCAAAGATTGACTCCGGCCATCGGTCCGCATGGGGTCAAAGCCACAGTTGTTGATCTTTCCCTTGTTTTTGTTCTGAGTGTTGATCTCACCTGGCACGTCACCAGCACTCTTTAAGGGTATCATGCTGTGTTGATAGGAGAAGCTGGGTGGCAGTTGGTTGGAATTTCTCCTCTGAAGGAAAGTCGCTATATTATAGATATATATTATGTGACTGACAAACCCAAGCTTGTTACATGGTCTTGCACAACCTCTTGGGGAACTTCCACACGACCTATTCAATATGTCACCACCAAAGGCACGCCTTGAACAAAGGACGGCTGAAAGGCTCCAACAATGGCGAACTTCAATCGTTCGTGATCCTCGAAGGAACACAAAGTATTAAAGTTTAGTTCCAGAAAGTACTCTAAAGATCTTAAAAGTAGTGGAAAAAAGTACACTTCAACGTCCGCCGGATGTTTGTCCATGTCCTTTTGCTGCCAGGGCCGAGGTAAAGGCTGGGCACATCGAATGTCGTGCTAGCAAATTGCCTTTTCCCTTTGGCATTTCAAATTCACTTTGAAATCATTTAAGAACTCAGCCGACTCAGCCCACCCTCCTGAATTGTCCCCGTCAGCATATCTTGTAGAAACGTTCTCTGATCTTTCTGAGAGCAACAGCTCTGCTGTTCCGGAAAATTTCTTGTCCCATGAAGTCCTTGGTGAACAATTTCTCCACCTCTGCTGGGGGGAGCTGCTGGGACCTGCAGGACAGCGTTGTTGAACAGGAGAAACACGAAAGCACTGTGTCTGTATATGTTTGTAACACATTGTAGTGTCACCAACTCAAGCCAGGCGGGGTGTCTATACCGAGATTTTTGGGTTCATGTTGCACTTTGGGTTTGGCCAGACGACCATTTTCTTCATCATCTCGCCATTGGGAGGACATTTATTTGGGCGCTTGGACATGACCCAAAGATAAAGATGGAAAGAAGGTATATGTGGGTGCTGGGTGTGTGTGATTTCAGTATAGCCTAGTGAGTGTAGCCCTACTGAAATTGTTTCAGAACCATTTTGAATAGAAACAAGTTAGGATGGCAATCAAAAGACAAGCGAAGCAGAAAGCATGAAATCGAGCAATACCAAGACGAATCGCAACAGCAACATCACTTTGGGCCGTTGCAACTCGGCAAATTTACAGCAGCAACATGGGATGTTTTCAAATGCTGGCCAATGCCTTGTGAGTTTTCTCAATAGCAAGAAAGAAGGTAAGCAACTTAAACATCCAGGAACCAAATCATTAGTGCGAGCATGAGCTATCCTGCGTCCGGTAGGTAGTAGCTTAAATAGCTATATACTAGCTTGCTCCCTTACTGGGAGTGGGCAACTTGCCGTAGTTCTCCCCTACCGTCCCTCCGATCAGCCTCTTGAGAGCGGCCAAGCTCTTGAGGGCCGGATGAGCCTCTCAATGGACCACCAGGGCTTCCACTGCAAGGAAGCAGTAGTGAGTATGGCTAGTAGCAGTGGCCGTTAGCAGTACGTAGGAGTAGCAGTAGGAGGCAGTAGGAGTAGGAGGAGAAGTAGTCGCAGGGAGGGTTCAAGCAAGCCTTGAGGGAGAGGGACAAATTCAGTCAAACCTCTCGATATATATATATATATATTATATATATAACTCTGGTTTTGCGGCGACCTCATCCGCTTTGCCCTGAAGAAAAGACTACCAACATGATGATTCTGACAAGAAGAAAGACCATGAAACACTCACTATGAAAACAAGTTCCCCTGGCATCTTGGCAAGTTCCTTCCACTGCTGCACATGCATACATTTTGCTTCATTGCGTCGGGAGCCAGCCACCCAGGTCGCCCTGGCTGGCAGTGGTCACCTCACGAAGTGATGAAGCAACATAAAATGATGTCTGACAAACAAAAAGCGACAAACAAAAGTTTGGTGGGGACAAGGATCTAGTAGGAATATGTGTATATATGTATGATCGCATGTCAATCCTCATATCAATATGCAAACCATGTCCATCCTTATACCATACACCATCTGCCTCTATCATTTTGCTACTGGTAGCAAAGGGCATCGATATGGAACAAAGGGCATGGCACCTCCGTCTCTGGCACTGGAGCGAACAGCCTTTGGCCCGCACAGGTACCCTCTAGCAGCTCCTGCAGCTCCTGCCCAAGAAGTTTGGGCGTGTTGATGCTAGGGTCCTAGGGGAAATGAGTCGGAACCAAACCATGAAGAGAACTCTGCGAACCCACAAAGCACAAAGCAAAAAGGAAAGAAGACAAGGCTGAAGTCTTAAAACACAACGCAAACCAAGGACTTGGACCAAGGACATCGAAGGAAATGATGAGGTTCTTCTCCGAAGAAACAACACTGACAACGAATCAAGCTCGACAAGCTCGACAACACCGTGGAATGCAGGACCTCGACGACCTCACTGAAAAGGCAAGCGCATACTCCGCCAAATGATTCAAACAAAATTGCTATGTCACTGCCGAATTCACTAAAACGGAACCAATTGCATCTTGAGCCAAACCCACGTCCTCTGGCGAAAGTCCACCCATGAGCTCAGCAAGCCTCCCCTTCACAGTGTCCCCCAAGCGTCGCAATGCTGGGGGAGTGTCCTCGTGCAGCAAAATCAATAATTCGAACTTCCTTGCTTCCTTGCTTCCTTGCTTGCTTGCTTGCTTACTTACTTGCTTACTTTCTTCCCTTCCTTCCTTGCTTGTTCACAAAAGAAAACTTGAAAGGGCTTTGGATCCTAATTCTTAATGACTCTTGTGTGACAAAGATCTGCGCAAAGCAAAGCAATCTGCAGTGACACGACACGATGCTACATTGCTCTAGTATGCCCTAGTCACTAGGTATCCCAAGGTCACCTCCTCAGTACCTAGTATATACTACAAAGCCTAACCTTACGGAATACTTACAGACTGTCATACGTTCTCCTCTGCCCAGTCATCTGCCAACTCAGTAAGCAGTCGTGCCGTGCTGAAGCTGCTCGGCAGTGCCGAGACCTCACGAAGCCGCTCCACTAGGCCACCTCACGCTGCCAGCTGTCGCTGTCCCGGCTCTGCCAGCGTTCAACCGCGAAGTGAGTGGACACATGAACCAGAACTATACATTTACATACATTTACATGACGTACGAGGGCGTACAAAAACTATGGGAAAACTGAAAGATCTTTGGAAGACCATCAAAGACCAATGGGACCAATGGTTGAGATATGGTAATTTCTGTAATCTGTGTGCGCTTCATGGTGATCTGCGGTAGTTTGCGACAAGTTGTCACGAGTTCTGGTCACAGCCACCAATCGATGCAAAACCGCCTTTCCCCTGCGTTTTCTGTACCATCGGAAACAAGAACAAGCAAATGCAGGGATTCCAATTGTCAGCTTGTTTAGAGGTTTCTCTTCCGAGTTTTATCTTCCGAACTTGTTGGGCAAATTTGGGCAAAGCAAATGGAGCACACAAGACTATGGAATCATAAACCACCTCTTTGCGAGGTCAGGTTTGCATCAGCCTCTGATGCCCCGCCTGTAAAGTCCTCTAAAAAGCGATGTGCTAGAAGGGCACGGCATCGGGGGTTCTGCTGGAAAATACCTGGGTCAGCACCAGCTGCAAGTAAGTTTTAGTTGCAAAAGGGCTACGACGTGTGGTGTGAGCAGTGTGTGTTCATAACAACAAGTTGCCACCTGCGGGTTCAAGAATGAGAGATTGACATCCCCTCTGTCGTGTCCTGAAGTTCCAACATTTTCCAACCCATTGTTCCCTGTTTTTTTGCAATTCTTTCATCAATTGGCTGGCCATCCAAGGTCCTCACATCGTGCTGCTGCAATCTATCCAAAAACCCAATAGAGCCAAAATTGTCAGAAGTGTATGATGGTGTCCAACAGCTGACGAGATACTCATCTGGTCGGCAGGTGGTTCTGCACACCAGAAGTTCAAAGATATATTATCGCCTGAACCTGTTGCAAGTGGCAAATCCAACTAGTAACAAAGGGCATCGCTACTAGGAGCAAGAAGCTACTAGTAACAATGACGCGGGCAATAGGTGAAACGGTGGAATGGTGTGTCAAACGGTGAAACTGAGGAAGGGGAGTAGGATTGAGGAAGCCCCTTTCTGATCCTTCGGATTCTGATCGTGTAGGCCGGGTTCGTGCAGGCCTTACAGTTTTTAAAAGGGGAAAGAAAGAAGGAAGAAAAGAAAACGTCTAAAGGTCCAAAGAAACAAAGAAAATAATGGTATGCAGAAAGACATTTCCTGGTCTTTCTCTTGTCTTTAGGAGAGGAAGGTAGGAGATGGTAAGAGGGTCGGCTGCTAAGAAGGGGTAGGAGAAGGTGGGAGAAAGGTACAGTAGGAGAAAGGTAGGAGAGGCAAAGGGAGTAGGAGATGGGTAGGAGATGAGTAGGGGACAGAACGGTCCAAGTATGCATTTGAACAGATTTAAGCGGTAAGAGGCAAGTAGTGGCAGCTAGCAGCTAGGAGACCTTGGAAGCTACCTACGGACGCAAAATGGGCTCGGGTTCGCGTGGTGGACTTGGCTCCTAGATCTTTAGTGAGGTTTAACTTTGTTCGGCACCTATCGTGGTACCTTCTTCTGAATCCGACGGCAAATGACGCCTTGTCCTCCCTACCCTATAGGACAAGAGATTGAACAGCTGGTGGCAATGAACTTGAAGGGTTTGGAAGTGATGTATGATTGACAGGAACAAGGACGCTACTAGGGGCTCCTGGCCTTACTACTAGGAGCAAGAACGCTACTGGTAACAAGAAGACCAAAACATTGAAGAGGCACAAAGAGCACAAAGAGAGAGAGAGAGAGAGAGTGAGAGACAGACTAGGAGGAAGGATGCTACTAGGGGCTTGGCGATCTTGGTTCGCCTTGGATCGCCAAGCCAAGGCACTTTGGGTCACCTGGTGCCACCAATACTTCGGCAAATAGAGCAGGCCCCCTGGCTCCAAAGTTGCCTGAGCTTCTTCAATTCTTGTTGACCACTTTGGCGCCAGTTGCAACGGAAACTGTTGGCTGTAAAGCTCTTGAGCAATATATAATTGACGTTTGCGCAAAAGAAGGCGTTCTTGTAACGGCAAAGGATAGTGATGTCCAGGACTCCAAATGACCTAAGGTCCTTTTAAGCCTCCTTTTGGTCTGGGTGGGCGGGATCTAAGGTCGTGAAGTAACAACATGTACAAAGTGTAGAAGTTGCCCCTCAATCTGTAGCATTGTACATCCATCAATGCCCTCTGAGAGCCTCGAAGCATTGCAACCGAGCAAAGCGGTCAAATCCTCAACTGGACAAAGCGACACTTTTGTATGTAAAAAGAGTACAACTCCTGCTCTCTTGCAGAACATCCAAAGGAATTGCACTCTTTACATATCTTTACGTACTGCTTTATGCTGCATGTCATCTGGCTTCCAATAATTCAATTCACATTCCAAATTCACCAAATCCAACCAATACCGAGAAACATAGCCATACTAGAGGCACCCAGCTGTCCTATAGCAAGCTACATCTACTTCGCGACAAGTATCTTCAGACTAGAATCGCTGCAAATCAGGCCGATCGAAATCCACCATGGAGAAAGAGTCCAAAGGATGATGTATTGGATAAGGGTAAACAGCCTTGGCAGCTTGGTACGTTCACCGCATTGAACTTGCTTGTCTTGCTTTGTGGTTGCTCCCATGGAAGTAGGAAGGTGTCTGCAGGACTTTTTGTGGAATCAGCTTCAAGTTGAAGCGTCTCTCATGGCTTTTAGAATATGTATGGCAAACGATTGATTCCAAAAAACTCTATATACATGTGTTCTACTGTTCTCAAATAAACGAGATTACATGCCTGGTCTCTCAGCTTCTCTCAGAATACAATATTGATGGGCAACTATGTCAATGTTCGCTCCGTTCTTGGCCGTCCACACACGCTACAAACGAGAACGCATTCTTTGCACTTCCTAAGATCTATGTATTGTTAAGTAGACCGCTCTTTTTTGAAAAGGAAAATACATGAGTGTATTTATCATTGCGCAAGCGAGGCTCAAAGGTTTCTTCAGGGGGAATCAGCAGGAAATGCCTCAGCCGTGTCTTGTCATCCCGCTTTAATTCTTACCCAAAGTTGAGCGGTTCAGAAAGTACCCGACATGACTTTACACCACACAGCTTATCTTCATCTGCTTGGGAAAGAAAGTGATAAAACAACAGGGATTGAAGCCTGCGTGTGCATGAAAACTGGAGAAGCTCTAGTACGCTGAAGAGCTTGTAGAGATGTGTACGGATGTGTGGAGGGGTAGTAGAGGGGTAGTGACTAATGAAGTCCAGGAATTTAACGTGACCTAAAGTGACCTAAGACCTCCAAAAGTACACAGAAGCACCAGTGACAGTGAGCAGTAACGTAAAATTATCTTCGTGCACGACGGCTAAATGCACAGGAATTGCTTTCGCCCTGAGATCT